CCAAGGCCTGACCTCACCCATTTGATCTCAAGTATACGGAATACCGGTCTTCACCACAGCTAGCCTAGCTGGGGTGCGGGGAAGCCCAGCAGAACTCCCAGACCCTGGCCTCTGGCACAACGCATTAGCCTCACTCAGCACTCGTTTCAGTACCTTGGAGAGGTCCAGGGACAGGTGTGGTTGTGGACCTCCACCTGGGTCCTGTTACCCAGCCCCTGCCTTTATCCACAGTGGCAGCAGATTAGGACACTATCGTGGTACCACAAGTTGAAGTTCAGCTCTGGCTCCAACACCCACATGTTTCACAATTCTTAACATAATCACTTGGAACCTTAGTGTGTGTCTTAGAACCTTGTGTGTATCTAGGCCTGAGGGTGCCCCAGGCAACATTTAAATCCCTGCTCTAGGGGCCAATGAGGTGACCCAGAGGTTAAAGGATGCTTGCTGCTAAGTCTGTCATCCTGTGTTTGATCCCTGGGAGATCCACATGGTAGAAGAGAACTGACTCATACAAGTTGCCCTCTCACTCCCATGTGTGCACAGTAGCATGTGCATGCCCACATGCATATGCATGCACACACGTGCACACACACACACACAGTAAGGATAAATAAGATCTATAACCCTCCTAAGTTAAGCTGAAGCTACTCCTCAGTGTCTCTGGGACCCTAGACCACCTGCGGAACACAAATTGGTCTCTCTGGGTCTGAGGCCACTGCCTGGCATCTGGCAGCACCGCCAGTGCAGCAGAGGTGACAGTGTCTGCCACTGCTCCCCTTCGGTCTAAAACTGCTACGAGCCAGACTTCTGACAGCCTCAAGCTGGCCCCTCACATCTCCCCGACCCCCTTGGGTCTAGACTTGTCAGCAGAACCTTCTGTGCCAGCAGCAGCTGCGCCGGGAGAGGCTGATCTACAGACTGTGGCCTTGGTGGAGGAAGGAGCAGCCAGGCGCACAAATCTTCATGATAAGGCGCCACTGAGCAGTGTGGCTGCGTGTCCTGTTCTGCAGAGGGAAGTCAGGGAGGGTTTCCTGGAGGAGGGGGGTAGCAAGTTGATTATGGAGGGTGCACATAATGGGTGACCCTGGGGGAACACAGGGCGAGGAACCACAGGCTTGACTGGGTTGGAGGAGCATGCCTATCTTGAACTTGCATCTGGGGTTCTAGAAGATGCAGTTAACATAGCGAGGGGGGGTTCAGGGGAGCACCAGTGAGGGGTGCAGGCCCTACAGCCCACTAGGCTGAAGAGACAACCGTACGGGGGTAGTCCTCATAGTTATGGCTGCTAAAGGGCACAGGAGAGGAACAGATGGGAAATGGTGGACATACTGGACGGATAGATGGAGGGAAGGGCTTTAGAGGAAGACTCACCCTGGAGCAGAAGGGGTGGGGAGCATGGCTGAAACCTAGCCCCAGGCTGACACACTAAGGTTTGAAAGACAAAGCCACAGTGCAGGAGGGCAGGGTGAGTTGACCTTGTCTCAGGCAGGGAAGGTGGCCCCGTGTGGAGGCAAATATCAGAGATATCTCCTGTGACCAGCCCAGGGTGACGGGTGGGGAGGCCAGCCCCTGTGACCAGCCCAGGTCATAGTCAGCACCAGCAGGTCACATGGTCACGGAAGAAAGGAGCCGGTCCCAGCCTGGCAGGCTCACCTGTGTGTGGTTTCTATGAAGTAGTGAATGGTACCTCTGCAAGCCTGCCTGCTCAGGGACCCCTGCAGGCTCACTGGAGTTCCCCTAGGAGGACTGATAGCAGCGCTGAGCAGGAGGCTGGCTACACAGAATGTCCCTCTCTGCTGTCCCCACCACGGATGGGTACCCATCCTCTAGGACCGCTGACCAGCCAAGCTATACATGTTGATCCTCACACCAAGGACTTACGGATGCCCTCACCCCACCCTTGCCACAAGGTCCTGCCTGTTCCCCAGTCCCCAGGATGCTCTCTCTGTTCTAATCTGCCCATGAATGATAGCTGGGGGCCGCGTCAAAGACACCACACAGTGAGGAATAGGTTGGTGAGACCCCGGTTCCAGCTCCATGTGCATTGGAACTATAGGGAACTGTCACACTCCAGCTCTTGTGATCCTAAGGACCCATCCAGCTCCAATATCTGGGCCGCCCACCAAGTCCCCACTCCCGCAATGCAGGAGGAAACCATCTTCAGCAATCCCAGTGGCTGAACTTCCAGCAGGATGATCCCCTCTCCGATCCCTTCCTTCCTGTTTGTCATGCCCACCTCTCCCCTGAAGAGACCTGACAATCGCCACTCCCCTAGAATTTGGAGTCTGCACGTTCAGGTGTGTACACGTCTGTCTATGCGTGCTCATGCCCGCATGTGGGCGTGTCAGGTATGTGTGCAAGCCCGCGTGTGCGCACGAGGTGGCTAGAGCTCTGCTTTCTCCCCATTGGTGAAATTTACATTGAACCACAAATTAATTTCATAATTTTTTCCTCTCTAATTATGCCAACATCTGTTGCGAGGCAAGCTGTGCGGGTGCATTTTAATGTCCCTCCCCTGCTCGCCTGCGCGCAGCATCGCTGTCTGTCTTCGACTGAACTTTTCAATAATTATCGCCAAGAGAAGATCTCGACTTCCATTTCTCTTGCTGCTCAAGAGGGGGAGAGATGGTGAGGGAGGGAAAGGAGAGCGGGGTGGGGGAGGGGAGGCAGCGGGAAGGCAAGAAAGGGCCAAAGGGAGCTACAGCACACGGGTGGGTTGTAGGGAAGACAGTGTGGCTGTGGGGAGAGCATAGACAGTGGGGGAGAGCACCCAGGAGCCACATGTGTCATGGCCCCTGACAGGGGTGCTTTCTCAAGACCTGGAGGTGGAGGTGGAGCTTTTGATCTCCTGTGAGCACTCCACACTTAGAGTCGGGAAGGAATTTTGGCTTTGCACCATCTGTCTAGGGAACCCTGGTACCTCCTCTCTGGGGCATCATGGGTCTCTGAGACAGCCTCTGGTCCTGGCAGGAGGCCTAGCCTGGCACCTGTATGTGGTACCCACACTTAAAATGAAGGTGCTTCTGAGCGTGCTGAGAAAGAGTATTGGCATCCCTTCCCAGCCTTTCCACCAGCACCCACCTGCTGGCCCAAGGAAGAGGGTGACCCCAGAAGCATCAGAGACAGAGGACGCTCCAGAAACAATCCTCCATCCTACCCTATGACTGAGTGTACCCAATCAGTGTCTGAATGTGTGGGAGTGTGTGTGAGCATGCTGTGTGTGCAAACTTGAGGGTCATGTATATGTATATGCATTTGTGCTCAGGCACACACATGTAAGCATGAGTCATTTGTGTGTTTATACACATGTATGTGCCTGAGTAGACCTGCATATACTAACTTTTGCTTAGCCCTGCCCAGCAAATGGACCCCAGAGAGGTTGCATGTGTCAGGGCACTTGCTGGCTGTCCAGCCTGAAATCTGACTCTATATCTTGTATGCATCTTGTGAAGTTGGGCGGGCACTGGCCCTCTCCCACAAGCTTCGGTCTCCTCGGCATTTAACAAGAGCCAGACATCCAGCATCCACAGAGAGGTCACTCACATCCAGTTGTTCCCTGTAACAGGTGAAGGTGTGTTCTCAGCTCTAGTCCTTCCGTGAGGACAGAGACTTCCGAAGTGGGACTGCAGGCTTTGAGCCTGTCACTTCCTCTCTTCTCATCACCACAAGAGTCCCCATTGTTCCCCTTGCTGCTCAGGCCCGTCCACCCAAAAGTGGCCACAGTGGAACTTATGAGCATAATGCATAACTTGAAGCTGCCGGTCACTCCTCACTGACCTCTGGATCCCGGTCACCAACCTGTGACAGCCCTCTGCGCCTGACCCTTCAGCTTCAGGACTTGTGAAGTGCACGTGAACTCCAGTCTCTGGAGACTCCCAGCCCTTCCACATGCCCTCCTTCCCAGCCCCCCTCCTGGTGACTCACAGCCTTGGTGCCTTCTAGGAGGGCTTCCAAGTTTGCTCCAGATGGGCTGAGGCTGCCCAAGCTCATGCCACACAGGCTTCCTGATGCACATCACTTGCCTGTTTCTTTGCTGCCCCTACCTTTATTCTAGGGTCATAGCTTTTCCAGGGCAGAGCATTTTATCTCATCCCTGAAGCCTGAACCACGGTTGATGTTTAAGGACATTCTCTTAAATACTGAACTAATTACAAAGCAGAAACACACTTCCCAGAACTCCTGGACCCAATTCTGGGATGGTGGCATTCAAAGACCCTCATCTTTGCATTCTAGACATCCACTCTGCCCGGCAGAAAGTAAACAGGCATGAGGAAGGACGGTCACCACCCAACCTATGTCTGTAGACACTGTGTGCTGACACCAACAAGGTGCCCACGTAGCTCCGTGAAAGCCTGGGCACTTTCCTCAGGTGAGGTGCTAGCCTTTGAGCACCTGGGGAGCATTGGCAGACTCAGAGTAAGACTCATCCCCCTACAGAGACCCCCAAATGTACCCAATAACACGGCATCTGAATGGCTTCTGGTGGGGACGGAAAGGACTCTAGTGGGACCAGGGTATTGAAGAAATCCCATCACAGATAGAAGGAAAGGGCGTTACAAGAGGCAGTGGATGGTGGGACTGCTTCTGGCCATGATTAGAATAACAGACAGACGTTGGGATTCCATGCCTGCCAAAGACAACTGTTTAGCTGCATAAAACCTGTGTGTGGTGATTTAGATGCAGGATGTCTTCTGACAGGCTCCTGTGTGGAATGCTGGGTTCCCAGCTGGAGATGCAACCCTTGAGAGGAGACTGGATCCTGAGGATAGATCCACTGAGAGATTCACACTATGGTGACAGTACAGGAAGGCGGGGCCTCATGGGAGGAGGAGCTCACTGGGGACATCCCTTATGGGCTATCTTGTCCTGGGCTCTTCCTTTCTATTTTCTCCCCTCTCTCTCTCTTCTTTTCCTCACCCATCCTCTCCTTTTCTTCTCTTCCCTTTCTTGCCGTCCCTCCTCCTCACCTCTCTTCCTTTTCTCCCACCCCCATCTTCCAGGCTGCTGTAAGGCGAGAAGTCTCTATCACACTCTACTGCTGGGTAATGGATGCTCTACTTCCCTCGGGCCCAAAGCTGTGGAGCCAGCTGACCTTGCGCTGAAGCTTGGGAAACTGTGAGCCAGTGTGACTCTGACCCTTTGAAGTGGTCGGGTCTGACACAGCAACGCATCTGTGACCATCTGAACGGAACAAGCATGTTTCAGGCTCTGCACAGACAGCGGCAAGCCACCCGCAGCTTTCCACCTGGAGGGGGTTCTCAGGCCTCTGCTGAGTGATGTGGAGACCAGTACGGTGCACTGGCTGTAGTAGACAGAGGAAGCAGAGGTTGGTGCTCAGGGTGCTGAGGCATCTGCGATTCGTGGCATATGGAGAGAAGGAAGCTGTGCAAACAAGAGGCCGGAGCTGTACACAGGAGTTCCCTGGAACCACGTGTGACAACAGTAGAAACTCCTCCGAGGGTGGAGAGGTGATGTGGCACTGTGACAGTGTTCATCTGAGACAGATGGAGAGCAAATACTGGCTGCAGCCCTGGAAAGGCCAGCCTTGAGAGCAGGGTGATGACGGCCCCAGCTCAGAAATGCCAAGCAGCCCCCTTTGTTAACAGGTTCAAAACAGCTTTGCCGGGTAAGGCTTCAGGGCTGGAACAAATAACACCCTCTCTATAGAAAAGATCTCAGGGGACAGATCCAGAGAGAGGTCACCCAGATGTTGAAATTAAAAGAGAAAGGTTTGAAAGGAAGACAGGTGAGCAGCCGTCCGGACCACAGAGAAACGATGAGTAGACATGAAGATGGATCCATTTTTAAAAATGCAAGCGTAAGTACAAATTGAAAAACCCAACAGGGCTATAGACATGCTTCAGCCTTTGTCTAACAGTGTGAAGCCCTGGATTTGATCCCCCAGCACAATATAAACTGGGCAAGATAGGAGCTTGCACCTATAATCCAAGAACTCGGGATGTGTTTACAGGAGGATCAGATGTTCAGGATCATCCTCAGCTACAGACTGAATTTGAGGCCATCCTGGGATACAGGAGACCCTGTCTTTAGAGTAGATGAAAAGTATCAATCCACAAATCAATAAAGGCCATGTGGAATAAAACTAAAAATCAGGGACACGCCGGCAAACTACTAACACCGAATAAAGAGACCACCCCAGAAGCAGGTAGAGAAAAACAGGTGCAGCAGAGACAGAGGCACACGGTAAGGAATACTGATGACTTCTCATCAGAAGCGATGTGAGCCAGAAGGCAGCAGGAGAGTGTCTTTAAAATGTTGAAACAAACCTATAAACAAAGAAAAACGAAACACCCTTGGAGAATTAAGCTGAAATAAAGCATTTCCTGGCAAACAGAATCCGAGGAAGTCCATCCTAGCAGACGTGTGTAGGAACCGTGGAGAAGTCCTTCAGGACAGAGGGATGATCTGGAGAGGCTCAGATCAACCCAGAAAGGAAGCCCTGTGGAATCTGGAATGTGGTAACACAAAGTCCTCTTCAGATGACGACAGAGTAGAAATAATGGCCTCTGGGGGGAGGGGAGGATGGTATTTTCAGAAGGAGTGTGTGCGACTTCAACACGAGACAGCAGGGTAGAGGCGCTATGGTAACATTTCCTCTCGCAGCGTCAGATCAATTTAGTAAGGTGTGATCTGAACTCACAGCAAGGACATCAGGATCCTGAGAGCAGCTGCCAAAACCACAAGAAGCCCTGAGGTATATCTCTGAAATAAAATCAACGTTGCAGAATAACCACATAATTCAAAAGCAGGCAAGAAGGAAAGTATGAAACAAAAACCAAGGGTCTATATGAAACAAAAAGCCAGATAGTTTAAATTCAATCATGCTAATAAGTAAATTAAGTGAAATATAAAGGGTTAATATTTGAGCTAAAAAGCAGAGATCGAAGGGCTGGAGTGTGTGGTCCAACTTGCTTCTCATGTTGGAAGCCCTGAGTCAGTTAGATATCCAGCACAAAAAGAAAAAGAAATAAAAGGAAGGCCAGGGAGAGAATGCTCAGTGGGAAGAGGTGATTCCCACTAAGCCTGGGTTCGATCCCCCAAACTTACAACGGGGAAGGAGAAGACTGACCCCTGAAAGCTGTCCTCTGACCTACACACACATGCTGTGACATTTGAGGGTGTGCATGCACATCAGTGGTCTCTCTCTCTCTCTCTCTCTCTCTCTCTCTCACACACACACACACACACACACACACTGTTTAACATTCTAAAGGAAAGGAACTTGGGAGTGGCCATGCTAATAGCAGACAGAGCAGACTGCAGACAAGCATCATTAGAGCTGAAGAGGAATGTATCAGTTACGAACTCATAAGGAAGAACCTTCATAAATGAGTCTGCTCAGAGTTTCAAAGTCGGGCGGTGGTGGTGCACACCTTTAAGCCTAGCATTTGGGAAGCAGAGGCAGGTGGATCTCTGTGAATTCAAGGCTCGCCTGGACTATAGAGAGGGTTCCAGGACAGCCAGGAGTACACAGAGAAACTGTTCTCAAAAAACAAAACAAAACAAAACAAAACAAAACAAAGAAAGAAAGGTTTCAAAATACATGAAGCAAAATTAGGCTGATCTAAAGGGAAACAGACAAGCTCACAGTCACAGTTGGAGGTTCCAACATCCCTGTCAAATATATAGATGAAAAATCAGGAGGGGGGGAGGAGGAGGGGAAGAAAGGAGCTAAAAACAATATTTCACCCACCATGACCTAAATGATATTAACAGGGCCCTTCACCCAACAAGAACAAAAAACACAGGAATTTCCCCTAAGTGGAAAAGGAAAGTGGCAAATTTTGGGCAGCTTTGTTCCAATACATCTGACCCTAACGAAGGCTGGGCGACTCTGACACAGAGAGAAAGACCCCAGCCGAGGTTTCCACAGTTCCCTAGGCTCTGTCCACCAAACGCTCACGTCTCCCACACAAACGGAGAACAAAACCCTGGAAGTCTGAGCACACAGCTAACAAGCCCCTCTTCTTTCCCTGTCGTTTTAGTGCCAAGATCTTCAGCGCAGGGCCCCGGACTCGACAGAGCGCAGTAGTCTCTGGTGCAGACCTTCCGCTGTTGCTGCAACCGCTATTTTGCTTTCTGGCGGTTCTCAAACTCGCGCTGGAACCAGATGTATACACCTTATAAATAAAATTTCTGGCAGAAGCAGTCTTGGTCCGCGGGGGCCTTGACACCTGCTGGCCTGTCTAAGTTTGGCGGTCTGAGGATCATCCAGCTGGAGTGTCCACAGCTGTGACTTCTTCTTTAGACCCCTCTGGAGTCTGCACCTGCAGAAGCCTCACCTTGGTTTGGCTCTCAGCCTGGTTCAGGTAGCCCCATCCTCCGTGGCTACAGTTAGAACCATGACCAGCCTTCCTAAGCTCCAGCCCTGTAGCGTGGAGACTCAGGAGCACGCTAGAGCCACTGTTGCCAAGCAGAGTTAAGAGCAATGGGATCCACTAGACACCACACATATTCTGCTCTGTCCACTCAGGGGTACTGTACCACCTTTGCTTATAGCCTCAATGGGATATTGGAACATTGACGGGGGGGGGGGGCTTTATCAGCGTCTTCTAAGGCTAACCCGTGGCCAAGTTGCGTGTGGGGGATTCTTGGTCTCTGCTCATGTATCACCTGCCTGGACCCTGGTGACCACAAACATGCTTGTGAACTGGTTGGCTACAGGGCCACATGTGTGCCAATCATCGGCAGACACGTGGGGAAGGCTAAGTTGTGGCCTTCTGTAGCCTGATTCCTCTCACCCTGGATGGGGAAACTGCCTGCCTGCCCTCAAGGATACAGAAGCTAGGCTAAGGTCCACCACCCCTAGATTGCTGACGCCTTTCCCGGACACAGTGGTGACAGTGTGCATCTAAGCCCTGTCACAGAGGAAAAGGCAGAGGCTAGGATTCCCAGCCCGGTTCCCTGCTCTGGAAGAAACAGGAGGCCCCAGCCTACCCCCTCCTCTGATGTTTGCTGTTTTGTTGTTGTTGTTAATTCCTCACCAGGTGGAACCGGCACTGTGGGGCTTAATTAAGCTCAGCCAGCTGTTGCTGAACACGGGAATGCATTGCGTGGCAGAGTCAGCCTGGAGCAGCGGAAGAGGAAGGGCTGGGGCCACAGAATCCCAGGCCAAGATGGAGTATGGTCAGAGTTCAGGGAGTAGAAAGCTGGGGTTGCCAAGGGGACTCCGTGGGGAGGTCCAAGCATGTTCAATTGCTGCTTTTCCTCCCCTCCCCTTCCCCATGCATTGAATGATCTCAGGTTCTGAGAACCGAGACCCACCCATACTCTCAGAGGACAAAGGGAAACTTCACAGATATGAGAGCCCAGGGGAGGTCTTCAGGACATACTGCTCAATACTGGGACAGAAGTTCTGGAATGAATATAAGGAAGGGGAGGGGAGAGGAGGAGATGGGAGAGGAGGGGAGGGGAGAGGAGGAGAGGAGAGGAGAATAGAGAAAATAGGTGTGGTGGAGGGAGGGGTGTATGTGGTATTGGGGTTGTGTGTAGGAAAGTGTGCATATATGTATGTGGAGGGGTGTATATGTGTGTGTATGCAGGCAGTGGGAGAGAGCATGTGAACACACACACAGGGATATACGGCGTGGGTCAGGCCGGCTGTACAGAGATTCTCTGTTCACACTGGTGAGACACACACAGGGATACACGGCGTGGGTCAGGCTGGCTGTACAGAGGTTCTCTGTTCACACTGGAGATGGTTAGATGGGTTCTGTTCCCCTCTGGCATATCACAGAACTTTATTCACAATTCTCATGAGACAGTAATAGATATTCCAATAAACTGCTTAGCTGGGAGTGCAAAGCCCTGGGCCAAACAAAGAGGAGCTGACAAGCTGCTGGAGAAGCCCATCCTTGCAAGGAATGGGCACCCCAGGAACCTTTTATCTGAGGTGTCAATGAGCTGAACACACTCCAGCAAACGTCTGGTTAGGGGAGTCAGGTGTACAAAGTGGAGGGAGCTGGGAACTAACATGAGGATCCGTTCCTTTACCTCCAGAGCGTGTAAAAAAATGGATTGCACCCACCCCGCAGTCTGGATTTCTCACATTAAGTTGTCAGCCACCCCAGAGTTAGAAAGGACCTCTAGACATATTAGAAGACATCCAAGTGGCCAGAAAAGGTGCCCAACCCTGGATGGGACACTGCCACACATCTATCTGTTCACATAACAACAACAAAACCACATGGGCAGTACCAGTGAGGACTAAGGGTGACAGGCACCCTTGCTCACAGACCACAGGGACCAAACCGTGTCCCTGCAGTCTAGAAAGTGGTTAGCTCGAGGAGCAATAGCGACCCATGACATCTGCACTCTGCTTGTCTTGCCTGCCTAACCAAGGACCTTGGGAAAGCATGGGTGAAGTGGGGTCACTTCTGTGGAGCTGGAGGCACGCCTTTGGGGGGATATGTCCCCTCTGTCTGTCTTCCTCTCCTCTTACACGAGCAGCTTTGTTCTGTGATGCGGTCCTGCCAGGATACTGGGTCACCTCAGGCCCACAAGATTACATACAACTGGCTGACCACAGGACTGGAGCCTCGGAAACCAGGAGCCAAAATAAACCTTTTCAATTTAAAGTACTTCTTCCGTTTACTAATTGGGCATGAGTGTGCCCACGCAGGCCTTGACATGAACGCAGAGCTCAAAGAACAGCCCGTGGACGTTATTTCCCCCCTTCTGCCATGTGGGTCCTGGAGTCTGGGCGCAAGTCAGCAGACTTGGCAGCAATCGCCTTGAACTGCTGAGCCATCAGCCCCCAAATAATTTTTTTTTTTGAAATAGCTTTTCTCAGGTATTTGTCCTAGTGAGGAAAAGCTGACTGAATAAACGGTACACATATCCATGTGTATATTCATTCATCCCCGTAAGTGTGTATTTTAGTAAATAACACTTGCCTGAAGATCAGAGAGTAAAATAGCCCCACTGGTCAGCCTTCCAGGCCAGGCAGTGGTGACACACACCTTTAATTCCAGTAGCCACACTTGTTGCCATAGAAACTGGGCAGTACATCCCTTTAATCCCAGCCCTAGAGAGGATTATAAAATGGGAGGAGACAGCTCTCAGTCACAGCCTCATTCCGAGATTCCTGGAGGCAGGATCACCATTTCAGACTGAGGTCGAAGTAAGAGTCAGTGGCTGCTTTGCTTTTCTGACCTTCAGGTTGAACCCCAATATCAGTCTCTGAGCTTTTATTAATCATGCCTCATGTCCCTAGTAATATAAATTGAATATTCTCAATTATATAAATTGATGCACCCTAGTTATTATATGACCATATACCCCAATCATATATATTTCCATACACTGCCAGATATATCCATCCTCAGATAGCCCAGTCGTACGCCCCTGCATCTCCAATCACATACCTCATGTACTGAAGTGTGGTTCCCCTTCTCTGAGTTTTAATGGCTCTTCCTGCCATCCTCCCACCAGCGACCTAAACTGAGTCCTGGGAAACAGATAGTGGAAATATCAAAGGAAAAGGACACTCCCTAGAAACATGACTGTTAGGAAATAATCTCAAAACAAAAGCCCCCTCCCTCTTCCTCCCTCCTGTCTTTTCCTTCCCCTCTGTCTCTCCCTGTCTCCCTCCCTCTCTGGGCCCTCTCTGGTGACTCCCATTTCCCTCCTACATACCCAGGCCTCAGACCGAATTCCATGGATTGCCATGGTGAAGACTGCAGGGTGGATACCATGTGTCCCAGCCGTGAGAGGGTCAGTGTCATGGGTAGGACAGGCCCCACCTCAGACTTCTTACAACTCTATGGGGAGCCCTGGACACACCTTCCAGGACCCCTTGACATTTCCATTCATCCCAGGCACGGAGAAACCTGGGACATCAGGTTTTATCCCTGTGTCTAAAAATAGTCTAGATATTCCTCTCTGTCTGCTGTTGGGAGCTGTGAACCCCCCAGATCCTGAATTTCTTGTAAACAACGTGTTGTGCTTGCAGCTGCTCTGAGCACGAGACCCTCACGAGTTCCTGATGGCAGGGGAGTGGTTTCTGGTGGGTTTGGCTAGGGCGTGGCTAGCAGTTAAGGATCCCTATATAAGCAGCTCTGGTACACAGTAAAAGGGGCATTCCTGTTTCAAGGATGACCCGTGTCTCTATCTGTGTGTCTTTTTGTGTTTAAATCTCCAGACCCTTGCTAGCTCGCAAATGGCCCTGTAGTGTAGGCACCGCAATACAGGAGTAGTACCATACTGGCCCGTAGTACAGGCAGGCGGTACAGTCTGACACATATGTTGTCCCTTTTAATTCCCATGGCTGCCTGCAGGTCTCACAGCCATTATGCACAGCAAGAACTACAATCTGGCCACCAAACCCCCATTTCCTGTGACTTCTTTATAAAGCTGAGGTGGTGGTGCTGGTGGCCAGCTCTGGAGGCCAGGGTCCTCATCACCTTGTTCACTGATCCTTGAAGTCACCTGTCATGGGAGCCACACCCTTTGAGGACTATCCATCCTCCAGAGGCAGCAGCCCAGCCAGGGTACAGTCTCTGGCTTCGTATTTCTTGTTGCTGTGCTTAAATACCCTACAAAAACCCATTTAGGGAAGGAAGGATTTCTTTCAGCTCATAATTCCTGGTCGTAGTCTGTCCTAGCAGGGAAGTCCCAGTGCAGATGCTTGAGAGAACTGCCACCGAACACTTGCAGTCAAGAGCAATGCATTAATGGATGCATGCTTGTCTTTCACACGCCCTGGGGTGCGCACTCCTGCGCAGACCACCGAAGAGGCAACATGTAAGCTGTCACACTGAGAAAGGTACTGAGCCCGTGTGGCTAACATAGATCAGAATAATGGGTTAAGATAAGTCATAAGAACTAATAAGTAGCCTGATCAAATGGGCCAATCAGTTTATAACCTTATGGAGTCCTGTGTGTGATTTTCTTTTGGGGCTTGCCGGTTGTGGTGTACTGGATGGGCCAGATACCCCAACAAGCCGGCCCCCTCATGTTACATATGGCGCCCACGTGGATAACTGAATCCACAGAAAGCTTGAGAAAGCTTGGGAAAGAGTAAAGCATGTTTTCTTGGTAGCAGCAATTTCTCGGGTCTGCTCTGCTTGCTAGAGGCAAGCAAGGCTTTCATCTAAGAGAGGCTTCCTGACTCAGCTTCAGCTGCAAAACCCTGCAGCTCTTTTAAGAGGTCCTGCCGCAAAACACTTAAATGGTGTTGATGAAAAGCTGAACACATGCTTTTTGGTTTTCAGCCGTGGCAGAAAAAAAGCTGCACTGTTTTAAAATGCCGGTTTTCTGGGCTGTCCTGCCAGGTCAAACTCTGACTCTTTTAAGCAGGCAGTCCGACTGAGTGTGGTCTGTGATCAGAATACTACAGCTTGCTTGCTAGCAAGGACCTTGAAACGCCATAGAGTTGTGGCAGTGAACTGAAGCTCTGGCTGGTATCTCAGCCATGAGGAATGGGCTGGATCTAACCGTCAAAGCCACAGCTCTCCATATTGCTTAGTAAATTAAAGGCTTATGTAGTCAAAAAAAAGAGAGATATACAGTAAAGAGAGATTCAAAGAGGAAAAAACCTCTAAATATTTTACAGTGTGTTAAAAATATATGCAGGCTAAAAGTTAGTTCTTAATGTAAAAAAAGGAAGAAAGAGAGTAGTTGTGTGTGGTGGTACACACCTTAAATCCCAATGCCTGGGAGGCAGAGGCATCTGTGACTTCAAGGGACAGAGGTAGAGATTGACCTCTGTGACTTCAAGGTGTGGTAGCACACGCCTTTAATCCCAATGCCTGGGAGGCAGAGACAGATCTCGGTGAGTTCAAGGTGTGGTAGCATACACCTTTATTCCCAGCACTGGGGAGGCTGAGACAGCGAGATCTCTGAGTTCAAGGACAACCTGGTCTACAGTGTTATTCCAGGACAAAGATATATACAGAAAACCTGTCTCAAAAAGCCAAAAGTTAAAAGTAAAAATAAAAGAAATAGAGGTTAAAGTAAAGCCACATAAAGATGGAAAATACGCAGAGAATCTTGATACTGTATGCTATTATGCTCTCTTTGAATTGTTTGAATGCTGAGGAAGGAGCAACAGCTGCTAAAGGACTGTTGTTTATAAATGCTGCTGAACTAACCCAAGATAGGTATTTTGAAAATACCTTGGCTTCAAAACTGAAGTCAAAAGGTATGTTACTTTGGAGAAGAGATTCTGCTTTTGTTTCCACAGAAAATGAGAGGCTATGGATTTATTCAGAGTTAAGAAAAATCATCTTTGACCAAGGGAGGCCACCTGAGAAATCTCCGACAGAAACAGGTGGCCCAGATGTCTGAGTTCTACATCCAGAACAGATTCAAGACTGCAGCCTGAGATGATCAAGACTCCCAGGATACTTCAGTCAGGACTTGATTAT